GAGACCCAGGACACATAGTGGAAGCAGTGGAGGAAGTGGGAGTCGAGAGAACAGCGGCAGCAGTAGCATTGGCATCCCCATTGCTGTGCCTACGCCTTCCCCCCCTACTGTCGGCCCAGTTGCTGATAGCCCAACTCCGCCAACATCACTATTTTTAAACTAACTTAGTTTAAAAGATATGGATAGCTCAAATAATGGTAATGAGAGAAAGACTTATGAAGCTTCCTATGCATCAGACACTGTTAGCAATATATTGAAACGTATGATTCTGAAATCATATGGCAAGTGCTCAGATGACTATTGCTGTTTTATAAAATATGACTCCTCCTTCAAGCTGAGTACCATGTTCAAAGTCACATCATGGAGATAACATAGCCATTGTCATAGTTAGCGTCAGATATCAACCTGATACATGGGAAGAGGGAATCTTAACCAAAAAATTGCCTTGATTAGATTGGCCTGAAAGCATCTCTGTGAGGTGTTTTCTTAATTGCTAATTGATATAGGAAGGACAAGCCCAGTGTGAGTAGTGCAATCCTTATAGGCAGTTGGGCCTGGGTTGTATCAGAAAGGTAACAGAACATGGACCTGAAAGCAAGCCAGTAAGCAGCATTCTTCTACAATGTCTGCTAAAGGTTTCTGCCTTGAGCTCCTACGTTGGCTTCCTTGGTGACAGACTTAGCCTGTAAGATGAAATAAACCCTTTCCTTTCCACCTTGCTTTTGGTCATGTTGTTTAATCACAGCAAAAGAAACTAAACTAGAACAGCGACACTGCTGATAGAGTTTGTATTTTGTTTTCAATGTATATTTTTTTACCAAATTTTTGTGCATTTCATACAAATATCTTAATCATCTTTATATTCCCTCCTCCAACCAACCCCCTCCTAGCTCCCCACTGGATTTCATGCATTTTGTCATATATGTTAAGGCTTATTGAGTCAAGTCAGTATACCCAGAGATCTCTCAGTGCAAGTTCATCCACTGGAGGCTAGTCAGCTTATCTAGAGTCTCTCCCTTAAAGAAGATCAACTCTCCCTCACCCAGCAGCTGATCACTGATGGATTGTGTACTCTTGCTAGGAAGCTATACTCTCTCCTAAAGAACTTTCTTCAGTGACTTAATACTTTGGTTACTGAGTGAATGCCTGCAGGGAAGTACTTAACAAGTGTGGGCATTGGAAGGTTAGGAGACATGGGATTTCACAGGCAATGAAAGCAAGTGTGTGGGCTGACTGGTCAGAGAAAGCCCACATAATGACTTTGCACATGGCACTCAAAAAATACTAGTCAATACTAGAAAACGCACCATTTGCAAAGATCTGAAAGTCTTAAAAGCCTTTTCACCATTTTTGTTCCAGACTAAGCAAAATAAAAACTAAATCTACCTTTAAAAAGTCAGTGATCATATCATATTTCACAATTTTTCTTCGCTTGCTTCCAAAATTTCTCAAACATAATTTGACTCATGTACTGGATGTGCTGTCACTATCTTACCAGACTGCATATGACTTTTGAAAGCTGTAAATACTCAAACAGTCAAGTTGCTTCTTTTAATATGACTAAACTTTATTCCATCTCCCTAGAGGGCTAATTTCAGATAATGATGATTTGTGAGAATGTGGTGAAGAGAATACATATCATTTGTGAACCAGATATCAATATTAATACTTATAAAGAATTCCCCCCAGGCCCTCTTTCTATCTGTATATGTCTTTAAGTCACTGGTTTATTTTAAATACCATTTTTAGGAGTGATAAGGTTTTAAAAGGCAGCTTAGACATTAGCTGCATCCTTCCAAAGCAATTGGCCATGGTAGGAAGAGCCTTTTTTAACTTATTGCAGTATATCTAAGAAACATTTATGAAACCACTTAGACAGTATATGAGGTGGGAGCTGGGGTATATCCCCAGATACCAGGTTGCCTAGGTACTTAGCCTGATCCTAAACACTGCTACAGGATCTGGAGTTTCATTAAGGGAAAACTGCAGAAGTTGAGAACTGAAAAACTTCCCGGGGGCTGGTGAGATGGCTTATCTATTAAAAGCACTTGCTGCTCTTGCAGAGGACCTGAGCTCCATTCCAAGCACACACACACACACACACACACACACACACACACACACACGAATAAAATAAATCTAAAAACAAAGTTTGCTATGATGGTATGGAAATGGGGCCAATAAAGTCAGAACCAAATGACACAAGATTTGTTTCTGACTCCAGAATCCTTCCAGTCATTTCACTGTGTGACTTCATGATAGATTAAACTTCACTCTGTCATATCTGACCATTGTAGCCTAAAGTCTTTCTTTATCTTTTCCTCTGCTTCCTCCCCACCTTCTCTGTTTCTTTTGCAGGTGTGTGTATAGGGCAAAGCAGGATCCTCAGCTTAGGGCCTTATTTAAGGATTTTTATAAACAAGGAAAATATCAGGAGAAAAAAAATCAAAGGGCTCCACAAATGCAGTTATTTTCTTTCCACACACCAATTCAGCAATGGCAAAACCTCTGCATATTAGTGTAGACTCATGGGCCTGGCAGACACAGATCACTGATCCTGAGGGAACTGAATCCTGCTCACTCACAATGTTGAAGATATCATAGCCAGGCAAAGTCTCTTCAGTGAGATAAATCTTCAGGAGCCCAGTTTTCCATGAAGCTTTCTTGTGTTGTAAGATAGGCCTACAAAGGAACAAAACCAAGTTAAGCTAAACTGCAACCTGTGAAAAGCAGCTCAAGAGGCTTTCCACTCCAGTAGGGGCGCTTGGCCACCTGACAGCCCATTTCTGCACATAGCTGCCTCTCATACCAGAAAGCTTCTGGAGAGTTGTAACACTGAACTGTAGATATGTGTTCACTTACCCTCATCTTGTATTACATGGGAAACTTTCCCAATTATAAAGACGCTATAATGTATTTTTTTCCATCCTCATTTAAATAAGCTGGGAAATGGATTAAATCAAAGAGTGCTTTACTCATTGGGGGTGGGGGCTCGTTTGACCTCTACACTAGCAGTTGTAGAGCCACAGTCTGTGCTCTGACTGTGCAATGACTCCTCAAATAAAACCTGTATATCACTTAATGCTCAGTGTGTGGGATTTGACTTTACATCGTTTTAAGTCCCCATGTTTGCTATCCTGCCTTGAACAGGATTTGAAACTGAAATTACTAAAACAGCCAATGATACTACCAATAAATGAGCCAGCAAAAGATCAGAGATTTTGAATGTTCTTGTCAACAGCAAGGGGTCAAGGCAGCTCTACACTGTCACTCTCAACAGCCTGAGTCCCCCAGTCCTTCAGGAACCTCAACTCGGGCCAACCTGCGATTTATGACTTCAATGCAGAAAATAATTTCAAGTATAACTGGAAGGGTGCAGAATTGGAGGCCCTATTACAAATATTTTAATACAAGCTTTAGGTATGAGGGTTCGAGGGGAAAGGGGCAATCAGAAAAAGGTAAGACAGCCCAGAGCATGGGTACAGGCTCCTCAAGAAGAGTCATACTTCAAGTTTCTTAGTGGTGAGTGTGTATAAGATTTGGGAAGCTTTTTGAATTTTCATTGCTCAGTGGGTTTCTGGAAACCCTGCCTCTCTTCACCTCTTCAATAACTGTGATTAAAAAACCACGATCCATTGTGGTTGAAAAAGGGTTTAAGATGTGTTCTTCCTTTGTAAATGGGGTTTCTAGTGAGATTTCTAGAAAATTTCAGTTTTAAAGCAGGGAAGGGAGAAAGGCGATAAGCAGTTGTTGGATGTGCTAGAGGTTTTGCCTCTGTGCTGGTGAGAGGCTTCAGCTGGATCCCCGGGTGAGGGGCTCCTCTACTTTCTCATGTCCCCCCATTTTTCCTGTCTTTCTATCTTGCCTGGTTCTTACCAGCTGATGAATGGATAGTTCGCAGGCACCCATCAAACCTTTGAATTATGGGATATGTTGGTTTTATAATATCACCTTTGTGATGACGATTTTTTGAAAAATTTAAAGCAGTTTTACTATTTTCATTAACGTATATTCACTGTACATCGTCCTGGGTTTCATGAGGACATTTTCAAAGAAGTATGTAATGTGCTTTGCTTGTGTCCCCCCATACATCCTTCTCTACCCCTTTTCTCCCTTTCTGATGCCCCCTTTGTTCCCCTAGACAATTTTGCTTCTACTTTCATACATAAATGTATGTATGTATGTATGTATGTATGTATGTGTATGTATATAGAGAGGACTATAAAATCTTCATGAAATCTAGGTTCCACAAATGTGAGAAGACAGACGCAATATTATACCTTTCTGAGTCTGACTTAACTCATGTAATATAAGAAACTGAGTCACAACCATTCTCTTGCAAATGAGAACATTTCTTTCTTTTTATTGCTTTTTATAGCTGAGTAGAATAAAATTCCATTGTGTGTATATATACCATATTTTCTTTAGCTCTTCCACGTAGTCTTTTTTAAACAAGGAAGTAAGTATGATACAGGCAGACACTAAATTCTGTTAAAACATTTCAAGGTATGTGACATTGCTAATTTGGATCTTAGCATTGATTATAGAATACTCAACGTGTAGAGATTTCCATAGTATCAATATGTAAATTCAGGTAATGTGTATGAAAAATTTTAACCAGTGCCCATAACGTAGTCTGAAGCAGAATAAATGAGAGACCGAGTGCTGAGATTCTAAGGGTGGTATTTCTTTCCTAATTTTAATTAAGGTTGTTAATTTGAAAAGTATGCTAATATATAAAAAATGGGTTCACTTCTGAGGCTGGGCACAGCCTTGATGCTTGGATAAGATGTTTCCTAGACTTCAGGTCCACATGCTTGCATGAGTAGGTGAGAGGAAATCAGGATGAGGAGTTTTCATTTAACCATTTAGAATGACAAAGGCAAAAGTAAGTACAATTTGCACATATGGTGCCCTAGGTGTATATTTTGCCTACTCCAGGACCTAAGGAATGGGGGAACATACATTTTGTTTTACTCTTTACAATTTTTATTGATTTTTTTTTCAATTTTCATACAATAAAATTTGACGTTTAGCTCCCTTCCCCTGTCTGCACCTCCCCTTACTGTTCTCCACCCAATTTAATATACTCTATTATATATACTCTATATATTCTCTTATACTCTATTATTATATACTCTCTCTATATATATACAAA